GCCCGCTCCCAGTGGGCGGAGTCTACAACTGCAGCCTGCCAATAATTTTCTCATCTTGCCGCCTGCATCTCTGCTAAATCATAACGCCCCAGGTCCGAATTAATTTCTTTCAAACAAACTACGCCCCAGGGGGCAAAGTCTACACTTGCCACCTGTTATTAGTTATCCCACTTTGCCGCCTGCATCGCTTACAAATTCGCACGCCCTAGGTCCAAATCAACTGTTTGTGAGGAAGCCCCGCCCCAGTGGGCGGAGCCTAGCTTGAGCCATGTGTACTCCATGTAGCTCATTCACTTTCGAACTTGTTTGAGCTGTTCCAGTTGATTTCCAAGGCATACTATCCCGTTCTGAATGGGAGTAATATGCGGTATACATCTGAAAGAGGGCGGAGGTGGTGTAGTGACAAGTAGCGCACTATCTCATACGCACCGTCATGGGTTCGAATCGCGGATCGATGCCCGCATAGGCCAAACAAGCCTTCCATCCCTCCGCGGTCGGGTAATTGGTACCAGACTCGTCTGCGAGAGCAAAAGCACTGTCTTGTATATCGGCTGGCCACCGCAAGTCATTGTACAGGCCACATACCCATCATCACGCCACTACGATTCTGAATGGAAGTCGAGTGCGGGGGCGCATCCCTCAGAAGGGATTGATCAAGACCACAAACTTATCCTTTATCCTTTCATCATGAAAGAAAGGATTGTTCAACGCACGCCAGAAGACCCAAAAATAATTAGATTTTCAACACGACATGCAAGATGGATTACACAATGTCACCACGGCAACAAAAATTGCAGTAGCCTCAACAAAAGCATTTGCCTGTGTAAGGCTTCCATGATACAGGCCATTGAAAAGCTGCCTCTACATTTGAGTGTTTCAAGGGTGATGAAAGCGGTCTTCAGCCTCTTGAATATTCTGTAAAGAAATCTAGAAAAGTATCCGAGTGCAATCGTACGAACCGCGGTTCGCATGATATGAAACTGATTCTTTCAATTCGTAGCGAAACTACGATTCGCGCTGACGTGATTTTTGAAGATTGACCCCTAGGTTCGGACATAAAATGAACAGGTAAGTGTAGCGAAAAATTGTAGAAGCGATACGCACTTTTACATACACGCACGACATACAAGCACTCACTTAGCGAAATCGATGAAGTAGACTCTGGAAGACATATGAGGTAGGTATATAAAAGGAAACAGAAATAATGTTAACAAGGAATTATTTTCAACAAAAACGAGATGATTAGGAGATGTGGGACAACCTGACCAGAAAATTTTTCAAGCATAAACAAAATAAAATAAAATATAGAGAAGATGCTGAGGTGGTGAGAGAACTCACTTACTTATGCTTATACATATGACCCGTCTTCTCCCATGTGCAAGCACCGTCTAAACCATTCGCTTCTGTCTTTCGCGATCGCCATCCACGGTAGACTCAGAAATCGACTAAGATGGCGTATGAGGAATCGCTCAGCTGCTTTTGCAGCTGTTTTACGTGATCGAGAGCACTTCCCCCATCGCCTTACATCGTGAAGATTCTACAGGTGCCCACTCGACTGTTCTCCTTGTCCATCTGTCATAATCTCTTATCATGGTATAACCGGCCTATCGAACTTTGCCGTTTTAAACGTATTCTGCCGGATCGTAGTGCTCTGTGACTGATGCTCAAAACTAAAGTGGATGCACGGACCACCCAAGTCTAAGACCCGTAACAAAGCGCAGGAAGAACTGAGGAATCGAACAGATCAGCGCGAAGTTCTGGATCAGCCACATGACTGTGACTTCTCTCAGTGGTCCAAGGCTGCCCACGCTGACTTCTGCCATCTCACCAGTTTTTCCCTTATGTCGTTGTTGATTGATGATCAGAGAACAAAGAAGATGAAAAAGACTCGGTGACATTCCAGAGCTAGGAAACTGGTAAATTTTCGGTGCGTGCAGCTATTTTTGCTCTACGACAGGGGGGCAAGACCAAAAAATTGGCAAAACTCAATACTATCAGGCAGATAGTCCTAGCACGGCCTTTCTCTTGATAGTTACTGCACGTATCAGAAACTACTTTATGGAATTAGTTAATTCCCCATCAATTTCCGAAGGATCCATGAACTGTAAATCAGTGNAGAAGGAACCAGCTGTGTTTTTTTTTTCCTGGTGAGAGAGGATTATCTTGATAAAGTAATTTTTCAAGGTATATATGAAAGATATGATATGGCCGAAGATACACCCTCAGGAATCAGTTCGAAGTCAGTTTTAGGTCTGCTTATGTGGACGTCGGTCGGGTTTTTGCTTCTCATTCGGAATACCGTCATAAGTGCTAATACAGTGGCATTAAATGAGAGCAACTTGAATTCAGTTCTTCCCCAACACCAGGTACGTTAGCTCAAAGCTTTCAGGCTTGGCAAATAACTGGAAACTTATTGGCCGAACAATTTTCCAGTAATTCCCGATTCGGACTCAGATCTAGAAAGGAGATTGAGTCCAAAAGCGGCAATCGTGGAGTCATGATCGTGCGGAATTCGCTCTTTTGTTTTTCTTGAAAGCGCGTTTTACGTCGAAAACGTTTCTGAGATCTCTGATTTCTGACTCCGTGGATAGCCTAAGGGACGTTGTCGGATCGTGAAAGGCCAAGATAGAGCGCTATAAATGTGCTAGAAAAGCAGCTTAACCGACATGACCACTCAAGATGGACGAGTACTCGAACATTGTGNCGTTAGCTCAAAGCTTTCAGGCTTGGTAAATAACTGGAAACTTATTGGCCGAAAAGATTTTCCAGTGATTCCCGATTCAGACTCAGATCTAGAAAGGAGATTGAGTCCAAAAGCGACAATCGTGGAGTCATGATCGTGCGAAATTCGCTCTTTTGTTTTTCTTGAAAGCGCAGTTTCACGTAGAAAACGTTTCTGAGATTTCGTTTTTGAATGAACTTCTGACTCCGTGGATAGCCTAAGGGACGTTGTCGGATCGAGAAAGGCCAAGTTAGAGCGTTATAAATGTGCTAGAAAAGCAGCTTAACCGACATGACCACTCAAGATGGACGAGTACTCGAACATTGTGAAAGCTGTAGAAGTTGCACCATTCGCACCAGGACCCACGCATTGGTGCAGGTGGCTTACTGCAGCCAGCTGTATGCAGGGGCGCGCACATTTAAAACATTTATCCGAATACCTCTTCCGTGCAACTTCTGTCGAACACTCTCGTCCAACCCTGATTTACCATCTTTTTTGGAACCTTATCTTCTTCCTGCATCACTATTGCTGAACACCACTTCTATAATTCTTCTTGAGAGAGATTCACCAAAGTTAACGTGACGGGCGCCTTTGAACTCTTCTCTTACAGCATACCACATCAAAGTGTAGCTTAGCCTTATCAAAACTCTTCCAAAGTAAATGCGTAAACAGAAATCTGAAAGCAGTCCCAAGAGACATATTCCACCTGATCGTATTACTTTCAATGTGAAAAAGCGACCTGCATGAAATTACCACTACACATTCCATCATGCTGAATAAAATGGTCCTGATTAACCTTATACTCTTCACATTGAAGGTCGGTGCTTCAAAGAAAGAACCGATCTACGTGGCCGCTTTTCTTCAACTTCAAGGTCCCTCATTACTGGATGATCCAATGGCCATCTCATTACGTGCTCGTACCATCGCAGGCGCTGTTCTCTTATCTTCAGCTGTATAAGGGCTACTTGTATGACCGTATACTACATACTGAAAAGCATCGAAAGACAAAATCTTCCTACGCCCAAATCTTCCAAATCGAAGAAAAAGGAATTTCAGTTAGTGTTCGCAATGTTCGGAGCCGATTGGTGCCCTTACTCCAGTCAATTGAAACCTATATTCAAGGATGCCGCAGCGGACTACAAGTTGCGCAATCCAACAGCAGATGTCATTTGGGCTTCAGTTGATTGCGATGATCAGGTTAGGCTTTTGAAAGTACTCGTCAACTGAACTATGCATGCAGCTGATCGCATCCGCAAGAGTGCTTACGTAACAAGTTAGATCCAAGAAGTGCGGGTTCAAAAATTAGGCAGGACCCCCATTCAGAATCGTTGTAGTGCTAAACCGAGTATATGGCCTATAAATGACTTGTGGTCTTCAACCGCTACACAAGTTAGTGTTGTTATTCTCCCAAAAGGGTTTTGTAGCAATTCACTGGCTTCGGAAGCACGGAAGGCCTATCCGGGATTCAAATCCGGGCTAGCATTGTGCATACATTAGCGCACTTTTCACACCACTTCTGTAGGACATCTTCAGATCTATATGAAACTCTTCCCCTCTTCCCTTTTTCTTTATAGCACGGTATTGGTGTATAGCCAACAAAGATTGTTACGGCTCGTACTGGGTCCTAAGGTTCAAAGGATGGGGCACATTTACATCACTCTTCAGGGCATATGGATACAAACGAGAAGCTAAACAAGCTCTGACACGCTTAGGTGACAAACTCTAGCTCTACACAGAACCCCATACTTCCCTCAAGGTCATCGTCGGTGATTTCAACGCCAAGATTGGCCTCAGAAGAATGGCTGATGAGCTCGACATGGAGCTCACTTAATGGAGTGAAGCGAGGGTCATAATTTATCATGTGGACCACACCATCCACGGTGATTCACAGTATTAGAAGCCCTCTGATTGGCGATAGACTTGGGAATCACGTGGAGGACAGACTCATGACGAAATTGATCAAATAATCTCCAATGGAACTTTAGCCTGACTGACGTCGCAATTGCTCCGAAATTCTTATGCGGACCAAATCATCGTCTCCTCCAACTCCTCTGAAGGGGAGATTCCGTTAGGGACAACATCGATGAAGGATACAACCGGCATGTCGAACATCTCACGATAGTGCCAGGAAAGAAGAGAGTTTACAAGTAGCCAATAATCGTCTCTTTTTGAGGACTCTTGTTCTGATGCACCGGCGTGGAACGCCTAACTTGCAAAGCTATACTGAGAAGCGATAAAGAAGATCTGAAAGAGGGAGAGCAACAGTTATGGGACGAAAATGTCGATGAAGCTTCGCCGTTAACAAAACCGAGATGACTTCCTTTGGTCGTTCTGACGGAACAGTTACTGCATATCAGAAGGCAAATGAAGAATGTCATATAAGACTTTAACTCGAATCTATTTGACATCCACTCTACCTGCCTACCCACCATATTAGGCAAGACCGATACGTCATCCCTTCAGTTCTCTCTCCCGTATTTCGATATGTCATCACGTCGCTGAAGAACTGTATGGCGCCCGGTCCCGATAGGATTAAAAGAAATACTCGAGGAGCCTTCCTCCAGTCATTGCACGCGTCATGCCGAACAGGATCGGCAGAACCTTAGATGAAGGACATCCATCGAGCAAGCAGGAATTCGGAGAAGGTTCAGTACAATCGATCACATTCACTTTCTCACAAGATCAATGAAAAATCGCGACAGCACAAAAAGCCGTTATGTCTTGCATTCATCGATTTGGAAGAGGCCTTCAATACTGTCGAAACAAAAGCGTTGATTTAATCCCGAAGCAACCAGGGTGTTCCCCTACTCAGTGCATAGAGATGTTTCGTGGGCTCTACGCCAACTTCACAAGCAGTATTTCGCCATTTCACAGGGAAGTCATTGTCAACATGAAGAGAGGGGTCCGGCAGGGNGATACCGCTTTGCATTGACTTTTCAGTGCCACGCCGTTCTCGAGAGAATCATGCGTCGTTTGGGATAGGAAGAATTGGGAGAGATGGTCGACGGCCGCTATTTACATCACCTCCACTTTGCAGATGACATCGTGCTTATAATAGTGAACATTGAACAGGCGGAACGAATGCTGACCGAATTGACAGTCCTTAAGAAGAGAACGGTTCACAACCGAACTTAACAAAGACGACCAAGGAACGATCACGATGGCGCAATCGTCGCCGATTGCATGACGCTGATTGTCCCAAGCCCGTCCCCAAGTGCTTGTGTCCTGCCAGAGGCAAAAAGCTTAAGATTCACTAGCAACACGATAGGGACCGGCTGAGATTATGCCGAATACTCGAATACTGCACTACTTGCGAAATGAGCAAAAAACCGTTGATGTGGAAGTAAACACGAGTACGACTACTTAATTATTATATCAAGCTCCTGAAGACGGATTCTTTCCCAAACCTTCTTTATTCATTCGTGGCAATATCACGATTTTTCGTGGTGCCATTAGATAAATCTCTACAATCTCTTTTACCTGAAACTCGTTAAATAGCAATTTCGTTTGCACGAATGAAGTTCATTTTCAATTGTTCTCTTCTTTTGAGAACTGAGTAATGTTGAGTTTGCCCAAGAATCGCCAACCTTGTGAGACTTTCGCTTCGCGTACTGCGACGATATAACGGCAATTAACAAAGACATCAAGTCAAAACAAGTTATAACTAATAAAGCTTACGGCCTAACGGTTCTGTGCTGATGTAGGCCGACCGGCTCAACACTTTGTACGTGTGAGTGGTGATAAGCTATCCTACTTTATATAATTCGCTAAGTGTGTCTTTTGGTGTGTCGGTGTGTGTGTGTGTCGGTGTGTGTGTTTGAGCGGAAATTCATAACTCCTGCTCCCGTGAACCTAGAAAGCTCAAATTCGGTAGGAGTACAGGGCACGGCATGTGGACACTTATGGCAGGTGACAGGACCGGACTCCGCCTACAGGGGGCGGAGCGTGCGCGATAGAAATTTTAGGTCGCAAATTCAGAACTCCTGTCCCGGTGGACCCAAGGCGTTCAAATTTGGCAGGAATACAGAGGGCGGCATGGGAACATTTATGGCAGGTAGCAGGTCCGGACTCAACCTACAGGAAACGGGGTTTGTGCAGAGTAAACTTTTGAGCGGAAATTCGTAACTTCTGCTTCTGTGGACCTGAAGAGTTTAAACATGGTAAGATTACAGCTTTTTGTATTGACAGTGGAATCTCGGCATTTTAATGAGTGGTGTAAGATATGACGGGATCCTAGGTGACGGATGACGGACTCGGTGACGAGAACCTACAATAACTGAGAAAAGAAGATAAGGGGCCTGAGAGAGCAAGTGTCACCTGCCGATCGAAACGTAACGCCTCCGGTATTTATGATGTAGCTTTGGCTGTTAGGTATGTTTCATTCGATAAGATGAGATGGTAGAATAGGGTGACAAAAGGAGTGGTAAGTGCAGTTATAGGGACCCATTGGCAGCATTACGATAAGAAGATTAGAATTTTGTTCATTTCTTGCTATTAGATTACGACCGCTACACAGCAAAGTTTTTGACTTGATGAAGGATCCTCATTGTTCGATATCATTTGCGATAAAATTAACCGACCGCCACTTACATGGAACTCTTAACTAATGTTATCTCTGTAAAATAAAAGGTTCATTGATAACATCTGATAATGGTGTTCTCATCACATGAAATATTTGTAGGTACAGCCCAAGGCTTTGGATCTAATAGTTCAATCTTTATTGGGTATTTATCTTCAAGTACGAGAGCAAAATATCAAGACTCCTAATTAAAGACACAAGTACCGACTTTCACTGAATACCAATACCCTGTAGTCCTGTGTCAAACTTCGTGTACAGCTGAAGTACTATTTGCTTCAAAGAAGGGGTGGAGAGTTAGCCGATTACTACAACTTTCCAAAGAAGGGAAGCCCGAACCAACTTTACATAAGAAGGAGGATGCCCGACGATAGCAGAGCAATCCGACTTTAGCTATGATACAGAAAAAAACGCTCCCATTAATAGCTAATATTGAGGGTGTAGAGCTTCAAAAGAAAAAGGAGAATCCGAAGAGTTAATTACGCATAGCAAATTTCTGATAAGAAGGAGGGAAGCCCGGCGTTAGCCGGGCGGCCCGACTGGCGGCATATAAGCCATTAAGAAGGCGAGGGCATGCGAGGTTTCAGTAGTGTAAGTGATGGTGCGCGATGCCCGGAAAGCACAAGTACGGGTTCGAGTCCCGTCCAAAGCTGAAGCTTTGTCCATAATCACCAACCTTGTGAGATTTTCGGAATGCGTACTGCGACGATCTAACAGCAGCTACAAAACATTAAGTCAAAATAACGCTTTCGACATGCTATTATTATACTTTAGCAAGATATCTGTGAGCGTTTCTACGTGAATAAGTACCCCACTATGAAGCTTTTCGTCTTCGGCGATATGATGATCAATGAATATAGGTAAGATCATTTCTTCCACAGTCGACATTTCTTCAAAGTGTAGCTGTGTGGTATTCCATAGATTGGGGGAGAAATTTGACTTGATAGGATTCTGAGCTGTCCAACTCCACTCGTTCAAAGGTTTTTTCAGAGGAGAACGAGCAATGCGTTCTCTGTGTGATTTCGTTGACGAACACTACAACGATGCTATTAATATTTTCAATGACGATCCTCGGCAAGATTTGGACAAAGAGAAGGGAAATGTGATTGCGTATATTCGCAGAGGTAGTGAAGCTTACAAGAATCTTCATGTAAGTTATATACCACGATGTAGCTGCAAGTACCAAAGCAGTGTACGTGATAGATATATGGTGTCCGCGAAAAAAACATTTTGAAATCAATTTACTACTACATAAACTACTTCAAAACGGGTGTCGAACCGAACTTGAAAGCAAGGCACTCAAAGGTGAAGTACACGATAACTATGAGTTACCTTGTCATATAATGGAATTGTAGGCGGTTGTGGTCTCTCCACTGGACTATTTAATCATCTTAAGTAAAGTTCATAATAAGTACATCTTGTAAAAAGGAAACGATTGCATGTGTAGAGTACNCAGTGATTTCACAAGAGCAGGAGTTGTGGTGCGTTTGGAAGCTCTGGCTTTCCTCTCCAGTATGGACTATACCCAGCGATTCATAGCATTGTGGTCCGAAAATTCCGTAGGGGACTGGGAGCTGGGATAAAATCAACGAACATTCCCTCAGCACCAGTATTGATCTTTTCCCATCCGTGAGCGAGTGCGCCGTGGTTTTCAAAACGTATCCCAAAAAATCATTGACCCTCAGCTGCATCCTTTCCGAAATCTTTGTTAAAGAGGTTCGGATTGCATTTCGAGCTTTTCTTGTCTAAAAATTGCTCCGATGTTAGATATTCTAGCTCAAACCGTCATAAAAGAGAGAAAACGGCTACGAGAGGCTTCAGCTCTCGTGGTGCGAACTACGTAGTGTACTCTAATATCTCAACATTTTCTTCCACGCTGAACACTCTTTACTCAGAAACAAGTGTGGCGAAGCGCGTGCCGCGCGCAAGTAGCGCACGACATCAGCTTTTTCACTCCGACTTCTTCTTGTCGAGAAGCTTATAAGGCTTTCGAATTCTGTCAGCATACAACCTTACTCACTCGGGGTAGACTCTTCTCATCAGAGTACAACATACAAACAAATAAGCAGTCATTTTTTCTTACGTTTCTGAAGGTTCCGTAGCGTACCCTTTCTCAAGCAATTCTATTCGGAAAAGAAGTTTTATGTGAGAGAAGACGACCGTATTGAGGTTTATCGTTTACCTGTCTACGCATTGCGTATCAAGAGACTGTCATGTGGGAAACGTTGAAACGAGGAGCGATCCCGGAAAAGGATTCACCAAATGCGCGCAAAGACGTAACGGTTGGTGGTCGTCTGCCAGGCTCCATCGCTTTTCGAAATCTGCCGACTTGAGAGCGCCAAGGTAGATATGTGGCCTGAGGTATATTATAATTATAAGGGAAGGGGCAGCTTAAGAAAAACCCTCCAAACAAAGAAATTACGGAGGTCCAAAAAGTTGTTACCCTATTTATGGCGCTCCCTGTAGAGTAGTGGTTAAGAAAGGGAACATGAAGTTTGCAAAATGTAAGGCTTCTGGTGAAATTCGGGGTTTGTACAAGGGTATGGCGAAGAGCGAGATGTTCAGCAAGATTTAAGCTGTGTGCAATAGCGTAATGAGTTGGCTTCTCTGTCCCAGCCTGCTTGCTCTCCACTTCTGGGCATGGTATAAAACGGCCAATAACTGAGCTCTTTTTGCGCCCTACGGAGGCAGTTCTCCAATCCGACACCTCACATGTGTCAACCTTGGAGAACAATGTTTCGTCGTACTAGGAAATCTGACAAATAATTCATATCGTGGTCATGCTTTTCAGAAAAAAGAATAAGATGTTGTGAGAAGCGTGCTCAAAGTGGTCAGAAATAACCTTGATATCTACTAACGAGCGCTTCTAAATCCGAGTTTGATATTGTTGCATGTCAGGTTATAGCGGTTCACCCGCTTGTACTTGGTGTACTCAAGTGCAAAGGTAGCTGAGTTAATGAGGGTTTGACATTAATTTCCAGCTGTCGAAGAGCTCAAGCGTGAGCTTTCTGGGCACTTAGGAACTATGGTTTCTTATCTCTGGCATACTTATGTATCTCTCAAACAGGGAGTAATACGTTCCTCAGCCTCCCAGTTGATAATTCACCAAAACTACTGAATTATAATGGACAACCTGGAGCGAGGGTCTGCTCCGTTCGCTGAGCGGCCCTACGTAGCACGTGCACTTTTGCTTTTCAAGCCTTCATTTTCTTCCCTCGCTTACGCAAGTAGTGCTCGACCTGAATGACTGGAATGACCTTGGAAGTTGCTTCCAGAACATCGCTCTCCTTCTTCGTGACTACTGTGAATTTTGGTTGTCATCCGACGAACTTATGAACAAGACCTCGAAAAGTCGTGTTACGTTCAGAGCCCCAAATGAGGAGATTGAATCCGAGGTGGGCTAAAGAAGTTCACCTTCTTTGCTCGACTTTGACGATATTATTATTATTATTATTATTATTATTATTATTATTATTATTATTATTATTATTATTATTACTGCTCAGTTATGGGCTGAGCGTTTAGGCTCCAACATGGCTCCAACCCGCTGTAAAAATGCTACTGTTTGGCAACTGTTTTTCTAGCCACAAGCGAACCATCCAATCGGTTTCGAATTCGTTTCGTACAATAAACATCAACACACACTGATCCTCGGTCGGCAGACCGTGTCTCCCTCAATGGGTGATCCTAAATTTCTTTGCTTAAATTGCGTAAATTTCGAGGATGACTCCTAGCGAACCACACCTTACCTAATCTCGAGTCGGACACGTCTGTCTTTTAAGCAGTTTTTCATAAATATAATTGAAAAATGGGGGCACGAGCTAAGTTCTTTGCTACGGTTTTTTATTGATGCCTATAAACTCTATCGTCAATAGGAGTCCGCGATAATCATGGGCTAAAGAGAGTAATACCACAGACAGAGCCTTATCTTGTCAGATACGGAGTGCTACAGTACCAAATGACCACAGAAAACGCTAACCTCGAAGGGGCTATCGTGAAATTTTGGAGTCCTGTTAGTTTTGAGGGAACAATTCCTGCATCTAGAAGCTCATGTCTATAACAGTACTGTTACCATGATATTTACCCTTTTGGTACGTCTAGAGCTGTGGACTGAGAACGATATTTAAGTTCATCGGAAATCTCGAAGACTATGCAAAACTAAAGCAGTGGATCAGTGACAAATGTATCCCTGTCGTTCGGTGAGTTGGGCTTATGAACTTTATTATATATGCCTTCATATTTGGTTAATAGACGTTGAGCATATTCTCAATCAAACAACAAGTTTAAAAAAAACAAAAAGACTTCACAACAACGTAATCCCGAAGAACACAGAAGTAACTAAAAAACGGAAAGAAACGGCTAAACGGTTCAGCAAAGTCGAAATTGAGTGTAGGCGGATATGATTTGAATCGTTACTCCGAATTGATAATGGTCTTGAAAATTAACCCCTATGACCTATGAAAGGATATGGCCGAACCCTGTACACGCTCCTAGGAGCAACTTGACTGCTGTCAAGAAGTCTTGCTCTCTTTCTTTGGAAAAGAATTCATTTGAAGTGACTTATTGCTAGCAGTAGCTCCTACTATAACAATTTGAATGTTATCCTGCTACTGGGTGAAAAATTTGTGAACTATTTTGCACAGATTCAATCTAGCTTCAATCTCACGAGTAAAGAAGACTGATTAAAAACGGGTGGCAGTGGTTTTTTCGCATTTCGTGAGTTATATAGTCTTTAATTGGGTAATTTCACAAGAGTTGGCTTCTCCGTTTTACTAGCTGTTTTCTTACGGGGGAGTAGCACTATAGGGTTAATAATAAATTTAAATTTACAACAACTCAGCTTTTTCGAGTTAGCAGCCATCTTTGGGAACTTTTCAGAACTGAAGATCGAACTGATCGTATTTCCTGACAATCTGAGTTATTGGGATCACCAAATCGTTTTTCTGAGTGTAGCCGAGTGGTGAAGCACAAAATTATTCTGAATAAGGCAGACCTATGACATTTTATAGCCGAACCCTAAGCGATTACCAGTAGCTATTAGTGAATTTGAAAAGAACACACACCCCTATGCGCACATTTGGTTTTTATGAAGGTCAGGATTGCTGTAATATGTAAAACGACATCGTTTTCTTGAACTACTCCTAGCTTCGTATGCAAGCATTATTAGGTTTGGAGATTTTGGCAGGAGGATTAAAATGAAAATTTTATTGAATAAGTTGTTTTTGGACAACGCTCTTATAAGTTTAGCGTGTTCCAGACGTGCGACAAGATAGGATCACCTCGTTCATACCACCTGAGTACTTTGACATTACCAGTAATCTCCTGACTATTCAAAAATAACTCTGACATAACCAGTAACCTGCTGACTCTCCAGAAATCACTCTAACATTACCAGTAACCTACTGACTTTTCAAAAATCATTATATCGTCTTTAACTCAAAGATGATGAGCATTTAAGAACGATTTCAGTGAGGTGACTTTCAAAAACGTCGAAGGTCTCACTGAAGAAGGCTTGCCATTTCTTGTCTTTTTCCGTGATCCAGCAAAAAAAGAAGATGAGAAAATCTTCGTTGATGCGGTAAGAGACTCATCATTTCCATGTAGGCACCATGTATCGTATAGTCTATGTATACATAAAGGCACAGTTAACGATAACAATGGTTTCTGAGATTTCCCCATAGTATGCATTCGAGCTCTCCTCGGTTACCATATTTGGCGCTCATAGGCCGGGAAACGGCCCAGTTAGGGAATTATAAAGGCTCAAAGAATGTATCGTGTGTATCGTCGGACGAGCTTCACCGGCATTGTAGAGGCAGCACCGATCACAAGGGAGCCCATTCAGGAAGTTTAGACAATTTGTCATGACCCTTAGCCACAGTGAAAAGCAGCGCAGCCCTGTACAGTTCCGGCTTGATGTAGTCAGCTCTTGGCGCAATTGTAACACCTGCAGTCTCGTCCGAATACGCCTTCAATGTTATTTCCGTCATGGTAATCTCGTCCAACCTCTATTATCCTATCCTCTAGCCACCGCAACTGATTGCATAGACAACTTATGCATTGAAAACACCAACTCAATTCTGAAAGCAAGAAAAGTGCGAAGACACATGCCAAAATCGTGAATATTCAGCTGCTTTTTAAGGACTTTCGATCTTTTATGGCGCAATGGATCCTTCCCACCTTTATTAGATACAAACTCGTCATCAGATCAAGTTGATAATAAGCTTAGAGAAATGAATGTGGATCGTCTTTCGTTAGAATAAAACTGACCAAACTGACCAACTATGACTTTACGAAGACATGCGTGATAAATTATGATTTCAGGTCATTCGTGAGCTGTATGATACACGTATGACGATCAATCCTTTATTAGCTGATGGCAATGTTTTTTCTCATCCGCTTCGACATCTTGGTAAAACGTCAAAGGTACTCTTTTTCCCAGGAGTTCGAAGCCACTTTCTTCCTAATAGGTCCTCTAGCGGTTTACGCGCGAAAAAACATTTTAACCGACTACTTACGGTAGCGAGGTGGATGATAAGAAGTGGCAGAAACTCCTTTTAAGTTCCTATATTCAGCCTGGAGCATCATAGGCCTCTAGGGTGGTACAAAGCTCTCATGGTACCCCTTACCACTCTGGACCGGAGAAATCCTTGGAGAGATTTCCCTTTGACTCCTAACCTTCTACCTACGGTTTTATGCTATCTCCACTTTTCTGTTCAGTAGAAGGTTGCTCAAAGTCTCTCATCCTAAAAAAAGACTGGTCTCTGGTTGATCACTGAATAACATAAAACTGTTATCGATAACCATTCAGATGAGCAGCTAAAATGAATAAATAAATAACCATAACTGAAGCGCTTTCACTACAAGTCGAAAACTACAATCATAATATAATACTTGCCCAGGATCTTCCCGTTCTTGCGATTGACTCTTTCACACACATGTATCTCTTCCCGAATGTCTCTCAGTTGGCTACGCCGGGAGTTCTGAAGCAGGTCAGTTCTGGTTTTTCGCTAGTTTTTTTAGTCACTTCGAAGAACTAAGATGCCAAGACCGGAGCTGGCCTTCTGTGTGTTAAAGTGCTATCATAACCAAGCTTTTGTTGGTTGATCTGAAGAAGTAATAGTCTTTCTCTTTTCTTTGTTTGCTACTCAAAAATCAGCTCCTCCTTCTTCCATGACTTTCCAGTAAATACCCTATTTCGATCCAGAAAAAACCTTTAAGAAAATTGTCGTTCAGTTGGACATCAATTGCTAGATTCTCATAATAGTTATGTAGAACCTAGAAATAGAACATGCAACTCATAAAAAGCGCTAGCCTTTTAACTGTAGCGCTCAGTGGATTTATCGCCTTGCAGAGCGATCTTTAGAGCTCCAGAAAAGTTGTATATGAAGCATTGCATGTTATCATTGGAATAGTTGAATCCCGTTTATGGATCTGCTTCGGAATGTTCGAAAAATATGGAAGGACTTCAGCCTTCACGCCTTCTGATTGGCAATTTTCAGTTTGTTGAAGATTTACACAGTGGCGTTTTACACCAGCGATTCCATGGAAAGCCAGAGATTAGACGACAAAAGATATCAAAGTTCCTGGATAAGCAAAATACAGGAGAAGACCATCAAGCCGAACTTCAAAAGGTTCAATGTTTGGCTAAGAACATTCTTCTCTTCTTTCTAATACACGGATCGAAGAGCTAGAAACTAATAATACATAGATTCGATGGGACTAAAATCCACAGTTTATATTTGAAAACTTTGTAGAACTCGAATAACCTACTTAAATCAAATAGTAAATCAAAAAAAANAAAAAAAATTACATAGACGAGGTAATCTTTTCCAGTGATTTTTTTAACAGTGTAACTATGCATACTTGCAACCGAGCTAAATCTCAGTAATTGAATTAATGGAGTCGAATTCTATACTTCTGCACGATTTATCGAATACTTTATTGAGTTCAATCAAACAAAAAACCAAAATATGATCTAATTCGAGTAAATATTGGTGGACTCAACTTATATCCCAATTCTAATACTGACTGATTGCCATGTGCACTTGTTTACTAATACGATGCAAAGTTTTGGAAAAACATTCACTACTCCTACCATCCATTCGAGGGAAACTGATGTAGTCGCTCCAGCACCTTACCATACTTCGCGAATGAGAACTTGTGCAGTCCTCTCACGGAATAAGTTGACACCTGGTAGTAATCATGTAAGGAAGGGCGAAGTTCTCACCTTAACTTGCTTCCAATTTAGGCTGCTCAAGATCCACCGGAATCAGTCTTCAAAGAACTGCGGCCCAGTGGAAAACGCTACTCATTTCTGCAGAAGACCGAACTTTGAACACTTTTCGAGATCCTATTTTTTGCGTTACCAAATTTTAGAAGTAATTTTGTTGCATTGAGTTCATGGCTCCATTGTTTGTACAAGTTGAATGTCTTCCATGATGTTTTGATTGCATTAGGGAATGTATGTACGCATAAGTATAAAGGCGATTTGTTGTTACTCGTGTTTTTTTTTACCATATTCATGAAAATATTTTATAAATTGCTTTCGCGACACTAGCCGAAAACTTTTGCTGAAAAGAGTATGCCTCGAAAGCATTTCAACTGATTTTTCATGACTGCGTTCATTAATAGCCTGGAACACGATCCAGAGCAGTTGCTGATCCCGTGGATGCACCAGTACTAAGTGTGAAAACCGGGGCTAGCTTCATCATTAATATAACCACACACTATGAACTCATTCACTAACCTTCTGACGAATCCTCCTTTAGAGATAAAAAGGAGCGAAGTGACTCAAGAGGCTTCGAGCATCTCTCCAAATCTATCAGGACCTTTTAATAGAGCCAGCTCACTCATTGCATAACCACAAGAATTATGTGGATACCATATCTCTGATTTACAGAATCAACCCGCTTTGTTAAGAGCTTTCAAATGTAATGACTACGGCCAAATTTGTTGATGGGAGTTAATTTTCGCCCAAATGACCCTCTTCCTTCCTTCAAATTACTTACTAGGATTAGATGATAATTATTATGGTTCCGAACTTTTCTGTGGGTTAGATCACACCAGAAGTATGCGCTACGGAGAAAGAAGATGTGACCAATTTCAAAAAGAAAGAGCAACCGACACGCATTCAACCAGACAGAAAAGTATGGGTAAAGGGCATGAGTCCTTCGGGTCCAAGGAGTCCCGAGTCGACTACAGTAAGACGCGCGCCAACAGCAAGGCCGCATATCAGCAAATCCCATTTTCGTTAGCGACCGACACTAATGTTGCCGTTTATTTTTCACCAATCGGATCGTCCGGCTAACGCCGGGTTTCCCATCGTCTTATGATATGAGTATTGTGATCGGAAAACAACGCGCTCCCTCTTTGGAACAAATGATACTTTTTGGAACACGAAATTCGATAGAGGAGCAATTAGACACACAAACGATATTGAAAATGTGCTGATGCCTTTGATTAGAAGTCTCGATCTGTCGTTGTTAATCTTGAAAATAATGACCCATTGAAGGTTTACAGGTAGGCATCCAAAGCCTTTAATGTCATGTTGTCGAATCATAATCATAACACCACTATAAGACGCCTTTATGGATGTAGCTCCTTTGTTTTACGGATACATTATTAAATGAGAATCCAATATTATTAGCGGTCGGATATGTTTTTCCATGAATGATATCAAAGCAGAGAGAAACCATGATCCTTCATTGAATCGCAAGCTCTGCTGGGTAGCGGTCGTAAGCAAGAAGTGAATCAAATTCCATCTCCTTATAATCGCTCCCTATCATTGCACCTACCCTTCTGGTTGAATGAAACATATCAAAGAACCAAAGCTAGATCGTGAATAACAAAGGCGCCAGGATTTAATTGGTGATTGATCTTGTTCTCTAANCCCTTCTATCCTCAGTGTTCCCATCCTGCCCCCTCTACTCCTATTGATTTGCTGTCCAAGTCCACTGGATCAGGATTAATGGGTATTCGCCTGGACATTTATTTCGCGCACACCCCGTCTCCTGTAGGCGGGGCCGGTCCTCCCACCTATCATAAGTGTTCCCATCCTGCCTTGGGTACTCTTACCAAATTTGAACTTTCGTTCACGGGGCAGGAGTTACGAATTTTCGTGCAGACAGACGGACAGACAGACGCGAGCGCTATATATGAAGTAAGGATGATTACCTTTGATTTACTTGCATTATCATGCAATTTTGCAATTTTCTCGTTATCACATCTATCGTATATTTATTTCCCATCGATATCATCGCACTAACACTTAGTACTTCTGAGTAGCCGCGTATGCTTAATTTACGTGGTCGACAAGGCAGCGCGCTTTGAAATTAGGAAATCTTATTTTCCCTAATAGTCCATTTTTATCCTTCTATTACTAACGTGTTCACTCACAATTATTTCTAATTCATTATCCATCGTGATTGAGATTTCTTAACTACTCGACGAACAGTCGTACGCATATTTCACTGCGTATCCTTATAGTACACCGATATTCGCAAAACAGAACATCAACATGATGACTGCTCCAATTCACTGATACATTTTCTTAATAAGTACAAGTATCTTATACACTACTATACTAACTCCTCTTCCTTCCTTCGCACTAACCACAAATCTCATGGCATCATTAACCTATGTAAAATCAACTAACGCCGTTGCTTTCAGAACGTGGTTGCGCTCTTGTGTACTTATGGTACTCTTTCTTGACATTGTGGGTTCGCCTGGAAAGTATCAGGAGAAGAGTCTACAAAGTTCATCACTTGGATCCCGTGGTTGGAATTGCAGAAGGTTCAGAGATAAAATAATTAATTCTTTTTCTAGTCCAAGACAAAGTACTCCACAATCAACCCACACTCGTAGTTCAGTTCACACCTTGATACTCCGACACGCCAGGAGAGTAACCATAATTCATCTTGAAATACTTCATGGGCTGAGCAAATTGAAGCTGAGACTAAAACAACACAACCACCACACTCTACAAGCTCCACTTCAGCGAAAGAGAAGGAGAGAAAAAACAGGAAGCTGAGTTAGCAGTAGGCATTGCTAACTTGACTGTCGAAAAGGACTGACTTATTGATTAACCACCCCTCCTTCGGATGATCTTCGCTCGATGACGCTGGCTCAGACCTGACAATGAACTGAGAGCTGTTCCTGTATTCAATTCGTTTGTTTGTCTTTAAGCTCTTTCCACCTTCTGATTATATTTAGAGCTCTACAAATTCTTTCTTCTCCTTGATCATTATTGACTTACATCGAAATGGTAGTGTCGTGATCATTTTGAAGCCTGATGTGTTCTACTTAACAGTAGTTTGCAATGTACGAAAAAGCATGTCCATGTGATAAGTGTTTCACTGTTTCAACTTTCAAGCGGCATGCTTATTAATATTTGTTTCCATTGTCAATTACTGCTTTGCACATCATTGAACACTTTTCTTAGATACCTTTCTTATCAACCATGCATTTACAGTTGTTTTTTTATGGTGCGAGATCGTCGTGCTGTTTTGATTGATCTCGCCCAGGATGGAAGCTGGAGAGCGCGCAATTTTCACCACCAGCAATGTACCGTGCGGAGCTCCACCACGGCGAAATTTCTGCGTCTGGTCGCAAAAACAGGGGTGTACGTAAGGAGTTTGGATCACCTTTTCAAAAGACAAACTAAATCAGTGTTTGACCTTCATTCTGGATATGAGACTAGGATTTTTTGGTCCCTTTATAATACTCAGCTTTACAGAGTAGAAGATTCCAAAATTTTATTCAGTTACATACAGTGTGTGGACTGGTATACCCTTCCGTAATCTGAACAGCTTCACGATGAACTTTGATTTCTATGAGATCCGAGCGTAAATGACTTTATAAGTATGCCTTTCCATGCTTTTTCCGTTGTTTTCTTTCTTTCGCGACCCGTCTTGCTCAGATGTTTTTCCGGATGGTACAGTAACAAAAACGCTTATCTCACTCATCCACTGGCCTGGAAAACTGATGTACTGTAGGCTCTGATTTAGCCACCGACATTGAAAATGACATTATTGATTATTAATTATTTCTTTCCGTCAGGCGCGTCGCGGCAGGAGCGCTATGCGAAGCCGGTGTTAATTATAGCGCGCAAGGGCGCGTACATGAGGTATAGGAGCACGATTTTTTCCAGTATTTATCATCCTTCCTTTTTTAGTGATCTTTATTACTAAATGGATAACCTTATGTGTGTTTTCACTTACTTGTTCTATTGTACATTTGGTTTTGTTGGTATTGCTTAATTTTTATTTTTTCGCGTGGTTTCTTCTGTATAGGGTTTCTTAGTTTGATGCTTATAATTCGGTAATACCCTTACTCGGTAATACTCTTATACCCTTTAACTTATCTGTTATTTTCATTTGTTTATTATATATAATTTTCATAAGTACTTGTTCTCCCTTACCCTACTGAAGAGCATGGAGGGAGAATATTTCTTAAGTTCGACTTCCGTCTAGTGCAAAACGAAAGCTGAACTACTTTGACTTGTCCCCCCTTATACTCTTAATACTTGTGTTTGTATTTATTTATTGATACCAACAACTTTACTTGAGACTGATTATTCGGCTAAGTCGCCTACTTCGGAGTCCGTTCAGTCGAAAGCATACCTGTAATTCGCACGGTCAACTTTCCAAATTACAAGAAAGGACTTCTGAAAGCGAAGAAGTTGACCATGGCTCCTTGGACTTCATCTCAAAGTCAACACCCGGAGCTCTATATCCTCATTATTGTGAAAGTGTCCTGCAGTCATGTGTCTCCCTCTTTCGTCACATCGTTTGACCATTCGTCATTCCTATTGTCGATCGATACTCCGCACATCGGGGACTCATGCTGCGGGCCGGTCCAGCGTACATGTAAGAACAGAAGATTCGGATGTTAAGATTTCAGTTCGTGATTTGAAGAGGGAGTATGGGTACACTTTTTCTAGGAAGGTTGCCTAGTAGAAAACAAGAATATCCTCGAGAACGAAAGGAAGCCGTACCGTTGCATGTTCTGTACTAGTGCGTGTCTCTGTCTAGCCGCATGGGCGTCTCTCGCGTAAAGCGGAAAACGTTGTATGAATGTGCCCAATCTCTTGTCACGGCTAGGCAAACAGTGTGTCTTCTTTCATGATCCCCTTCTTCGTTTCGATATCTTCAAGTCGATTTTGTTTAATAGGGTCTGTTTACTTCTTTCATTACACCGCTTAACTTCTGCACGTGCTTCAATTACTTCAGATGAAGTTTCCAATATATTCACTGCTTTTACCGCCTTTTCAAAATCGAGGATTATTTGCAGCTACTGGACTTCAGTCAAGTTAGGTATACGGAAACGCGCGGGGCAACATACCCTGTCGTTCACCATCGAGAAGAGGAGAAGATCCGCGAAACTGCCATAGCACTCAACGTAGACGCAGTAAAGGATTCGTCGCATGAAAAAGGGCAAGTTGATCTGTAAACATGTGGTATTACACATGATGGACGATAAAATTGGCAGAAAATTTCCGTACGACATATTTTGTTTGTAGAGAGAGAGAGTCATACATCGTGACAACTCGGCAGTGCAAGCATTCAAAATTAACAAAAAGAACTAGCTGTGGGGAACTGACATGAAGATTGTAATGATCCCACGTAATTATGCTTTTCCAGAGAACAGCATTTCATCCGAAACAAAAAAGTTTGTAGTACAGTAATAGCAATACCAAAATGACACATCATAAGGTAAAGCTGAAGCTACAAGAAGTGAAAAGAGAAAACGAGAAAAATGGCTGACACCATGGTGCATTTACTAGTTGAGCGATTCATGCCTTACATATATACAGCAATTTGAACGATTGATGTATCGGACTCCGAAACGACCGTGATACAACCACTTCATTGTAGTTCAACAGTGATCACAAGAAAAATGAATTCACGCAAGCTTTCGAAAATACAGTAGGACTAAATGTCAATATCAGTGTAATTAGAGGTATAAAAATTGTCCGCGATGAGTCGTTCGGTCTGTGCTGGTTTCATCAATCGAGCGAATGTCAACTAGATGAGAAGTAGGTTAGTCATTTGACATACCCAGAAGTTTCAGTCGCCTAATGAACAGTTCAGCACAGAAGCTGCGTCGGTGACAGAAACCCACACCGTTGTCTTAGTGGTTAACAAATGTTGATACAACCTTTTCAGTAGCAAAAGATAGCCAAATGGATACCCGTTGAGAGCACAGTTCTATCTATCTTGACTTGCCATTTTTCCTGTTATGTCTTGTTCAGCCATGACAAGATTGACTGCCTTCTCTGAGGTTGTTAAGAGGTTGCGACAGCGAACAATTCGATTGCTTCCCACGTTCTTAGACTGTATGAGGATTTGAGCCTGTCACTTGCTTTCAGGCGATTTTCACATTCCCAATCTTGTGAACGAAAGAGAATAAACATTTCACGTGCGATATCATCTTAGCCTAACCCTAACTGATAGCCAAGTTGGGCGCTCTTTTCAATTCCAATATGTTCAAAACGTGATGGAGAACTTCTTTGAAAAAGCATACTGCAAAAACGCTTTCCCAATGATAGGAGCAAACCTTCATCCTGCTGCATCATTAGCGAAAGCACTACCACTGTACCACCGCTACTCTTGCTGACGTCGACTGACTCTTGTAGGTGTCACTGTCTTTGAGATCAATTTGACTGGTCACACTTGCCGATAAACACATTTAGCTTTTCGTTTCAATCTCCTTAGTGGTATTTCGAGTAGCTAAACATTTCCTGGGTAAACAAACCTACCATTCCACAATCTTACTGCTGCTCATGCTGCTTATAAACAGGCATGGTTTAACACGTTGACGACAAGCCAATTTTCTCGTGAATGTCGCGTTGGACGAAGCAGTTTACTTCTTGAGAATTTTGATTTCTCAAAGAAGGAGTTATTGCAGTCAAAAACATTTGAAAACAAGTGGTACGAGCGAATGTTTTTCAAACCACAAGCAATATTCGAATTTTGCCCTACACTTGTGGCTACTCGGGGTACTGGCAAATTGTGGTGATGCACTCGAATCCGTGGCCATCGATCTGGAATCAAACTATTCAAGCTCTGCTCTCGTGCTGACTCTACTCAGAAGTTCAAGGTTAACGCCGGAAAAGATCCGAAACGGACAACCAGTGTGGCAGAAGCTGTAATAATGGAGGTAATGGATGGACGGTTGTTTTATGAAGGACGTTGCCTTTGAGTAGATCATGGGCAAGCGGCAAGCTGCTGTACCGATAACTGGTACAGCAGCTTGCCGCTTGCCCATGATCTACTCAACGAGAACATAGACATAGTCGGAACTCTCCGAAGGAATCTTGGGGGTATTGCTCAAACCATCCGAGACAAAAAATGCAGAGAGGAGAGTTTATTTACCAGCAGAGCCTGAAAGTAGCGCTAATTTTGAAATTGAAAGACAAGAAAGATAATTCACATAATTTAGATTATTCACATAATTCTGACGCATGCTTTCACCTGAACGGCAAGTCTTCGGTTTAGTTTTTATATTATCATGAAAGGGTTTTCGTTGACCCAAGCAACCAGATGGCTCAATTTGTGAGAAAGGCAGCCAAATGATATAATAAACTGTTTTTTCACCCCGTAACCCAGACTGCCTTGACCATTGCTTGTTTCTGTATTGCAAAAAGATCAGGAAAATCAGAACGAATTACTTTTATCCACCGACACGCCAATGAGCAAGCAGTTCAAAAGCGCTTAAGCGGAAGCTGATGACTAGAAAGGAAAATTGGTGAATTGTTAATAAAGCGGAAATAATAGTCTTGAATTCCATTTGATAGCTGGCTAGTGCCATTTTGGACACCTAGTGGCCTAATTTGAAAATCTGCAAAAAAAAAAAACAGGACGGTTGCACACATTTTGATTGAAATAATGTACCGTCGCGCAGCATTGAGCGACATCGCCCCACGAGACAGAGTTGCTGTCGCGCACCGTTGCGTGACATTGTCGTCAACGCGTTAATGGCCTTATTTGGTATTACTTCGCTAGAGGCAAGGAAGCGATTTTCTGAGGGTGTGCAAATTGCATGCAACTTTAGATGGTTCAATCCTACCGTTGCAAGCAGAGTTAATAAATCTGAATTTGACAGAATCCTCAAAAAGTTTCAAAGGTGCATGCAAAAATGAAAAAATGCATTCAAAAAAATACTGATATCGGCCGTGTGAAACAACCCGTTCCGAATGGCTCGTGTATTTATAATCCTATCACAACATTGCCTAGTAACTTTGGACACACAACTGTTGTTAACCGTAATATGACCAACGCAGTTTTCTTTGTGAAGTTACACGAAAGAAACTTCTGTACGGCAAACCTCAGTTTATGCCTGCTTGACCCATAGAAAGGAATTTCCCCCAAGAAAGGAAGGAAGAAAAGCCCACGAATTCTTATATGGTACGCAATCTAAGTTTATATAGGGTAAGCAGAGGTTTGGCGTCAATGAAACAGGAGTAGGAATACTTTTTTAGCAGATCTATCTTTATCCTATGAATTATACTGTTGTAAATATCTGAAAAAGGGGCAGAAGTGGATTATCACCCAGCGGTTAGAATACCGGCTCGGTACGGGAATCCCGGCTTTTTAGGCGGGTCCGTGGCCAATTAATAGACCAGCCTAAAATGGTATAAGCAATAACGTTACGTCGGGTGATGAGCGTTAGTCATTGTATGTAAACGCCACACACACATTCGAAACGCTTCCACGTTTCTTAACGGATGTCGAATGCGGGTATCCACAACGAAAAAGCGATTATTATAATCAAAGACCTTTAGGCCTTGAACCCAAAAGAAACTATCACATCATTAGAAACGCTGAAATAGATAGTTCGACTACCTGTCAATGATGCCTTCACCCTCACATCCATGTAAGTCCTGCTCCTGACCCAAAACCCTAGCAACCCTAGCAAGATTCACACAAAAATATAGCATGAAACCCCCTTATATAGAAAGCATGATACATGATACCTTTATTCGGTATCTCTCTCCCTTGACACTCTCAGCGAGGCCCAACGGGACTCCCTCATCCTCCCTCCTCATAACTACGAGTGCAACGTAGTTCCTAACCTGTACCCCAAGGTAAATCCATCTTCAGATTTACCTATTTTTCATCAAAAATGTGCAGAAAATCTCATTGTTTACATACTATATTAGTGGTACGGAGTGTTCACAAACACTGAAATTTCTATTTTCAGTACACATAATAACACTATGACAATGATAACAGCAGTTTATTGCTTGATAAAATTATTATGAAACAAAGGCAACATTACTTTTACAAAATGAGACAAGAAATTCAGAAAATATCAATCAATAACACAAGACCCGATAAGGAAATCCACAAGTATGAGGCAAGAACTGGAGGAAGTTGTCCGATTGTCCGACATCGGCAACAATGTATGTTTGATCACAAAAAGAACGATATCAAAAAAGGAAATTCAAAGAGATACTGCACATAAAGGGTACTTAGACATGGAAGCTAATTTGCATTAATAATAACAACATTCAAAGTCCGCTTAGAAATAGTCCCAGTGATCCTGGAATGTCCTAGAAAATGTGAACAATCAGAATTGTGAATGTGACCTATATGAGCGCTTTTAGCTACCATACGAGATTTCTAGGCACATCTGTCATATGTGAAGGTAAACCTGAGCATTGAAGAGCAGAACGCTACAACAGGAAGGCCATGCAAATGCGAATCCTTCTGCGCTCTGGCCTAGGCGGCATGTACATCTTGGCCTAAGCGATGCACGGCTTCATGAANTTTTAGTTTTGGAATTTTCGCTAGGATTCAATCAAGCCAAGCAAAATGTCGGCGTTAAAAAGCCCAAGAAAGTAAGTCTCTTGCAGTATCTGTAAAACCAGATGCCTATCTTACTCCCGGCTCATTTTATCAAACTCCTAACTCTTTCATATAAGTTCACCTAGTTGATTGATTGGAAAAGGTTTTCTATAAATCTAACGCCATGTCAATACATCCTTAACGTCACAACGCACCGCTCATAAGAACTACTGTAACCGAAGGTCGGTGGGTAACGGCAGGAGGGCGATCAGAAGAATCAATTGAATTGGAAACAGGCGAAACGGAGCGATCCGATTCTGTACAAGTGACCGAGCTGTGGACTGCTGGCGACTCATAACGAGGTGGATAGAGATACTGTATTGTCAAAGGCGGTGCATCAGGGCTAGTTGGTGAAGATGGAGCTGTACTGGACAGAGAGCGCAGAGGATCGAAAATCACTCCTTTCTCAATGTCCGAGTAGAGCGGTGGTGGTGATTGACTTGAGGCGACTGCTGAAAACATAACAAAATGAGAATAATGTATTTTAAAAGCAGAATCAAGCAGAGTTAGAAAGTAGGAGCTCCACGACTACAGTTTCGGGAACACTTTTGATTTCATATGTCCAAGGAAAAGGAAAAAATTTTCAAGATCGCTACCAAAACCATGGCCATGCGGTCACGAAAGCCGCGGGAACTCTTCTCGGACCCATCAGGTTAATTTTTCGGCGGTTAACTGGAGCCCAAGAAGTTAAAAAATCTGACCACTACGTGGTTTGCATGGGCTAAATGCGCGTTTTTTGAGGATATGTTTACAAACGTCAATGAAGCGCACCGCCGAAAAACCCCAAGGAAAAGTATGATTTTTGCCCGACCCCCTTTGTATACCGTTCGGGTGTTGAGCAAATAGCAATATCTAGCCCGAAAGGGCCAACTACAAGCGAGTGAAGCACATGGCACCTTGAGGCTAATGCATTCCACGAGCGCAGATCCGCTGGTTTAAGAAAACCGTCAAAAATTAATAGTATTCTTTTTCCCCAAATATTAAATGTTACAATTTTAAAATGAATGTATCCACTCACCGACGTCATATTTAGGTGGAGGTGGCAGTTGTCGCATGATACGGCCCAAATTCCGCCTTCTTGACGGTTCTACTGCTGGTTCTGAAAGGTAAGACTAATAAGAACGTGGAATAAATCAAAAAATTGAAGCGATTANAATGTATCCACTCACCGACGTCATATTTAGGTGGAGGTGGCAGTTGTCGCATGATTCGACCCAGATTCCGCCTTCGTGACGGTTCTACTGCTGGTTCTGAAAGGTAAGACTAATAAGAACGTGGAATAAATCAAAAAATTGAAGCGATTATTCAAAAATCTCCATCAAGATTACAAAGAGTCCCCAGTGGACCAAAAATAGCGCGTTCAGCCTTTCCTCAAAATTCAGTGCGAAATCAAGGTACCCACGTTTGTTTACCAAAAGGGGAAAATTTTGTTGTCGGCGTTGGGAAGATGTTGACTAGGTGACAGCCGTCTAGCAACTGCCACTTTTTACTCTAACAATGGCTTTCTTCAAACAAACATCTTGATTACAAAATGTAAACTCACGTCGGTCATAGTTTTTGATGATCATACATACGACACAGCAACAGAGGAACAGTACGAAAAGGACTGGACATGAGATCACCACGATCACCTCCCACAACTGAGTAGGCCTCGTTTCCACCGTGCCTACAAAAAAGCCGTTTGAAAATGGGCAAAGGGAAGATGAAAATATAGGAAAGACTGTAAAACCCTCATTCATTGTGGTTTTTCGTGGCTGTCTATCAATGAATGAATGCTTCTTCTACTGGACTGATTGGAAATAAACATTTTTAGAAATATACGTGATTGGAAAACAATCTGATAAGATGGACCCCTGGTCTCCCCCTCGAAGCTCCATTTAAGCAGCTCTGAAGGGCAAAAACTTCAAATGGCCTCTGAAGCTGTCAGTCAAGATCAACTAATTCGCTCATGAACTTTGTGCTGATGCTCTTAGAACGTGATATATGTAACTCAGTAAAGATTAAGACTAAGACTAAAGACTAAGAATAGCAATAAAATACTTGATCTTCAGTTCCTAAACGGGATATGAACGACTTTTTGAGTACTCATATGTAGTGTCTGAGCTCTTTCCCATTTTCTTTTTCCCAAGTCTTTCTGGGAGAATCTGTTCAATCAGTATGTACTTGTCCTAAGGGAAGGAGTAGCACTATAACTCGTTTGCAGCTGAGAAATACAAGTACAGAGTGTTAAGTGGTCCGCCAAAGACGAGAAAGCCAATTGGATCTTATTTATGAATGCCAGATCGCTTTCTTGTTCCCACGCTAACACACTTCAAAAGGTAATTGAATGCACGGCGTATTATAGGTGGGAGCACTTAACATGTTCAGTTACAGAGCAAGATGTTCTAAGATCTTACGTACCCATCTATTTGAGATTGGGTGACATTCTGGAGCGGAAGTACATCTCTACCATGCCCCCTTTCGAGCACTTTTCCTCGTGATATCGTCACACGACCTACACCACCAATACACACCAAGGTGTCGTGCACCTTACCTAGGTGTCGTGACCAGGACCAGGACTGTAAGGGTTGATATCACCACAGGTGCGGAATGGAACGGACTTAACTCAAATTTCATGCCTGCCCTTGGTGCCATTGGTAGAGATTCATGGTAGACACAAAGGGGCACCTTTCTTTCCAGCCAGAATCGGATGGTCAGCTTCAATCTACAGGCACCTTTGAGTAATTCGTTCTACTTAACCATTTCCGGTAAGTTTCTATGGATTTCAATGGAGTTCGATTTATTTGTGGTCTACTGTACATGTTTAGTAGAGTAAATAATGAATTAGAAAACAAAGCTATACAAAACCATCAAGAATGACGCGAAAGTTACCTGAAGGGAAGATTACGGTAGCGTTGATAGCCTCCGCCATCCCATCCGGCAGCAATGATTCACTCATAATACTAAAAATAAATGGATTTCTGTAATAATATGAATACCCATCTAAAAAATACTCATCGAAGAACACGAAATGACGGTAAAATACGAAAGTAT